CGATTTGATCCGATCGTGTCTGTGACTTTCATTCGTCTCGCTCTGTGTTTCTGGTGCCAACGAGTATTCCATAACGTACTCCATAGACTCCGGTCGCGGAACGACAACAACACACGGCGAGACTTTCCGACTTCTTTATGCTAATGAGAAATTTCCGCAGCACACTGGAAACGGCTGTTCGTAGGTCGCCGATCGGTCTCTTCTCTCAGTATCTTCTGATTTCTTCGCTTCCGTACATCGGATCCGTCCGCCCCTCCGGGGGTTGGCCGCGCTCTGTGGCGATCGCGCAATAATACTAAAAAGATAAGACCTCCGGGAGAGAGAGAGAGAGAGAGAGAGAGAGAGAGAGAAAGGGGCGCGACGGTGCTGTCCACCCTTCGGGGCGAGCTATTGCTCCGAGGCTAGGTGGTCCATAAGCTACCGGACCTTACGTAGATGGACCGTATAGGGAGAGAGTCTTCTCTCCCGCGCGCACACACCGCGTATATATACGCACACGCACGTCCCACAATGGAGAGAGACCGTGTGGCGCTTACGACGTGGCGTTTCCCCGGCGCGTCGTTGTGTGCTGCGCTAATAATGGGCGGACGAGCCGATCAGCCAGTTGACCGTGACTAGATAAAAAATACTGCCTGACAGCCAACCCACCCTCGAACCCAGTTCACCCCTATATGTGTGTGTGTGCGTGCGTGTGTGTGGAAAGAAAGAAAAAGAAAGAAAGAAAGAGAGTGAGCGAAGTAACAAACTATCGGACTCTGACTCCTAACCAGTTGTCATGCTAATCGCGTGCAACTTGGTGGGACGCGCGTTAGGCAGTTTGCGCTCGATCCCCAAAAACTTAGAGAAGAGGTTGGGTTACGAGGTTAGATCGTAAATTCAGCGCATTGTGCGGAACAAGGATGGATTCCCGTGATCGATACCGCGTGTTCGTCGCGAGTGCAGTAACACGAAAGGCAAGAATATATTTTGATTAGAGATGGATCTGATAAAAGAATTCAGATTTTAATTCTTTCGGAAAAGATATTAAATTTGAAAATTCACGGAAAATAAGAAGCGAAGCGAACGTGTCGTTCTTTTCATTCAACAAAGTCAGTTTTTTTTTTTTTTGTTTTTTTATCTTAATTGCTCACTTGCGCAAAAAAAACCCAAAAATAAAAATTTGCACACAATAATTAATTATCAAACTGTTTGTATCAGCAGTCGTAAGTTTTGGGAAATGAGGAAGAGATAAGGTGTGCAGATCGCACTTGTTCCGGACGCACTTACGACGGGTTTGACTTATGAATTCTTCTGGACGATGGACGATGGGCAGCCGCTTAGCGATATAATAAAATAAACTGTCAGCGGCAGCTCGCATAAAAATGCTAAAGAGCTTCGTCGTCCGCATTGCCGTGCAGATGTTCCGCTCAGAAGAAAATCGGGAACAGAGCAGTGTGAACAGCACCGTTCTCTGGAAAAGTTTTTGATTCGCGTCTACAATATACACTTTGCGGAATAAATTGAGATAAAATTTAATTATGTTTAATAAGGAAGGAAACACATTATATCAGTTGTTTTTACTTTGTTTAAGACTGAACGTTTATTGATCTTTTGTACACACATGTATTGCTTGTATTTAAACATTACAAATCGTTCAAATTATTACGCGTTTCAAAAATCGTAAAATTGAAAGATTCTTAAGTATCGCGCTTATAAAAAATAGCTTAGCGAGCTAAGCTATTTGTGTCAGAATGCGCACGGTGTTATTGTACTCGGGCGTTGCGACACACGTTGATGCGCGCCGGTCAATCCGGTGAGTGAATATATCGCGCCGATGATAAACGCAGCGTCGATAAATTCGTATCTCTCTCTCCTTGCCCCTTGTAAATCATTGCCGAGACATTTAACCTTGGCGTTGTACACGTGATCCTAATCAGTGCATTTCGCGGAATTAATTCATGTGCGATTCTTGAACGAAAAAAATCTCAAGCGCGATAAAATAATCATATCTAATATAATCGTATATTTAAAAATTAATATTAATTAATATGATATAAAATACATATGTATTTAACGAAACGAAAAATAAACAACTTCTGAGGTCGCGTCTCACAATTCCTGGAACACATAAGATCGTTTAAATTTTCACACACACACACACACACATTTATAATTTATATTAGAAACTCCAATCAACACAGCAATCTTGCTTCAAACATCTAGACCAGACGTAGTGGTAATTTCGACGTGCGAGGATGGAGGATGTTCTCGAGAAAGAGCGTGGGATTACGAGTCGTAGCAAGTGGGAGAGTAGGGGAAAGGAGCACGGATGAGGCAGGCACAATGATAACAACGACCGGCCATCAGGGGACCGATGGGGAATGTGCGCGAGGAGTTGAAAGTTGTATCGCAAGTGTAGGCGGGGCCACTGGCGCCAGGCGCTTCGAACGCCTGGTTTCCGGAGGTGCGCGAGATGCGTCCGCAAACTGGATAGGTATTCCCGGTGGCGCGGGAACCACCTCACGCGACGACGACGACGACGACGATCCCTTTCCCGTCTTCACCACCCCACACTCGCGTTGTGTGCACGTGTGTACGTACGACTACATACGTGCAGCTCGCTCGTCTTCGACATCTCGCGCATCTCTCGAGCAAACTCGTCTCGTCGCACAACTGCGTAAAATTCGCGCGCAACTCAAAAAAAAAAAAAAAATATCTCGAAAATAAATCGAACCAATGTTTGACAATTGGTGGATTAGAAAAACTGTCGGTGTTAATTCCGACAAGAATGTTCTTAGTGCAGCAAAAATTATGTTAAGAAGAATAAAATATAAATACAAAGATACAGTTCTTCAGAAAATATTTTTTGTCATAAAAAATATATTATCGTTCTTCTAAAATTTTAAATTTTGACCATTTTGATAGCGACGCTCGAAACACGAACGCGTTAAACGCGGTTTCGCGTAGAACGAGAGTAACTAATGAGATCATCGCGGTAGATCGCACGCGCCATCATCAGAAGGGACACGGGTGAGAGAGAAGGGAGTCTTAAAACCGTTAACGATATCACTCGTCAATCACGCTGACGGCTGGCGGCCGACGCGCAAAAGAGGCCGGAGGAGAGGAGGAAAGAATTATACCGGCGTAATGCCGGAAAACGCGATCAAATCTGCCTCCTCGGGATTCGGAGGGACGCGCGAGCGAGCCGATCGCGACTCGCATGAACGACCGCGAATTAAATCGCCGTCTACTTCTGTCGTGACGGTAAAAGTAATAATTCCGTCTGAACGGGAGAGAAATCCGTCGCGTCGCGACCCCCATAAAACGCACGAACGTCTCTGTAACTCAATGTCGGAGATTTCCGAGACGTCGATACTCATATCCGAACTTTCGCAAAACAAAAGCTGCAAATTTTATTGTGTCCTCTTGAACGAGCGCTCCATTTTCCTAAATTCGCCGATAATCGTTGGTGCGCAATATAAACTTATCTCTACAAAAAGCTGTAAAATATTTGTGATGAATAAAAGAACAGTTTTTAGTATCTTGCTTTGTATATTTTTCTTTATTGTATTTATGTTGTATATAATAACAAACATTTTTCTTTCTACATAACTGCAACCTTGTCTTTGTTACAAAACAAAAGCATACAAATGTTTTTCTGTATGTTTTTGGTCAATAAAATTATACAATAAGATCGGTAAATTATATTACACAAATTTGTACGAGTTCTGTATAAATAGATAATTACGTCAACGTAATTTATTCTTTTCTCTATAAAATATCCTTTCAGTATTTGTTTAGAAATAATATTTAATTTCATATATATATATATATATATATATATATATATATATATAAAACAGATAATAAAATTATTCAAAACATTATGCTCACATACTTGGTGTAAATACATTCGATACATTTTTATTTTAATTAAAATATAATAGATTTATTTTGACAGGTATATGAGCGTATTTATTTTGTAAAAAAAAACTTTAAAAATCGTTTTCTAAATAACACGATATAATTATAAAAAAAATATAACAATTATTGCAATTTACCGAATAATAAAAGATTGCAAATAAAATCTATACAGAAGCTTAACAAAAACATTTTTTAAAAAATGTGCAATAAAATTCAATATTCTTAAAAAATAATAAAATTGGCAAATAAACTTGAATAAAATATATACCTTTGCTTATCTCCTGCGTCTTTCCGGATTTAACCCTATTATTATCGCTACAACATTTTAAGTTGGAATTATATAACATTAAATACAATTTGTTTTTACGGATAGAATTAAGTCCTAGAAAACAGCCAAGAAAGATCATCTTCCTTTTCCTCCGCGAAAACATGCGAATTTACAGACGAGGCTATAATAGGGGGGGGACGTGAAAATAACATATGATTGCAAATACCGATACTTCGATCATCGCGTATCGTCCTATTTTTACAATATCGAAAAATACCGGTTATCTCTAATAAGTAATTTCGATACTTGTTAAAAACTGAATCCCCACAAGATAGCCGCAATAGATATTTTATAATGTACAAAAAGACAAATAGGGTAAGAAACGTAATCCCCACGTTATCTAATCAGTATCGCTACCTGTAGATGCGTTACATACAGAGGCAGTCAAAGCTCTTGCAAGAAAAGTCCAGTGCAAGAGATCCAGAGAGTGCTCTCGTGCGATAAAAGGGTTCCTACAGTTTCCCAGGCGCATCTGGTGACTCTTGCGAAGTCATCGACGCCATCACGCGCCAAACGATTTCGCAAGTTCTCGCCCCCTTCTGTTTCGCGATTTACGAAAGCGACCAGTGTCTCGGGGGCACCGAGGTGATGACGTCTCTCCGCGAACGTAACGCGGAAAAGTGAGTGTGGCATCCCCTCCCCCTCACCGACACTCCCCGTGGCTGTTTGACTTAATTTTACGAGGGGTCGCACGGAACGACGAGGGTGGCATCGCCGCGAGGGGCGAAGAACGCGCGCGCGGCAGCGACAGCGACGGCGGCGGCGGCTTAGCGGATAAAAATTATCCGTTTAAAGTCGAGAAGCGCTATAAAAGTGCAGTTAAGCTTTCCGACGGGGCGCAAACGTTAGACTCTCTCTTTCCTCGCGTCTTCTCCTCGCGCGGCGCGATAACTATAATTGGTAAATAAGCGCGTTTAAGGAGGGGGGGCTGCTGAAATTTCAAGAAATTAAGACGCCAACTTATATATATATACATATATATATATACGCGCGTACAATTTCGAGTTTCCCCTCTGTGCGAGATTCTCTCGCTTTCACTTAATTGTTAAAAGCGAGTGGTAAAATAAATATTAGCGTACAACAGATATAATATGTATAACGTAAAAAAATTATAGTTTTAAGTAAAATATATAATACAAAACTAATATTATTTTCCGTTATCGCGTAATTAAAAGCAAACGGTATATTTGGCACATCCTTTTGGCAATCGTATCTTCGACTATTGTCTTTTTACTTCAATACCGTTTTTCTTCTCCGTCTTACTAGCTTGTAAAGCCGTAGGACAATTCTATTTTTTTTTTTTTTAACATGATCCGTAATTTATACTAAAATAAAGCTATCGTAAGTTATCTATATTTGTATATAAGTGTGTATGTGTGTGTGTGTGTGTGTGTGTAAAACTCTTTTCATTCATCTGTGTAATTCGTATATCCATTTTGCTAACAAAAAAATATAGCAAAACTGATCAATCAATAAAAATCAATGAAAAGAATATTGCAAGCTTAATTGCACAGTTTTTCTCATAAAAAATAAATCTACGAAAACTTAAAATAAAAAACTTATTAATGCCGTAAATACTTGCACGTCGCGAATGCTAATTTTCTTTCGCGCGCACATCAAGAAGACAAATGTAAGGGAATCTCGTTTCGAGAATTGAAAGAAATCCGAGAAGAGAGGAGAGATGAAACGCTAACGAGAAGACGAATGTGACCCTGGCTGCCCCTAGTCAAAGGTCTCATTCTAATCGAGAAAGAAGAAACCGAGAGAAAGAGAAAGAATGTATGCGGGTACGCGTATGTGTGTGTGTATGTGCGAGCAAAAACACCTGATATTTATGGTCCAGCTGATCGGTCGCTCCGCTCGCAGATCGGATCTCACTAAATCACCAGTCCGGTATACGCCTAGGAAGGAACTAGCCGCATCCCCTCGCAGAGCCCATGGGCAACCATAGGGTTCAATGTACAGTGACGCGATGACGAAGAATAGAAGAAGAAATCGATGTGAGAGGGAAGTTGAAGTCCTACTGCTGCCTTTTGCGCCTGGCACGCCTTCCGAGCAATGTATCATATCTGAAAAACTGACCACACGAGATATAAGAGTTACATATATATCACACAGTACGCACGGCCAATTGCGATTGCGGTTTGCTAATGAGAATATTCTAGGAGGATTAAACCATCTCACACATTTCGTGTACAAAACCATCAGTACACGAATTAATTTTCGTAGCTACAATTATGTTATAATCTTACGAGATGCAGTATTATTAAAATAATATAATTTTAAATAATATAATTTTAAATAAACATAAAAATAATATATTTTCTTCATAGAAAAAGAATTTCAGAGTATTTTACTGATTCTGTCAATCTGAATATCCGAATTAAATAACGACTCGCACGAAGCTTCGACAGCTGATCCGATGATAGTCTGCGGCTCGGGTTGCGAGCTGAACTTGTCGATCGCGAAAATGTGCATGCACATGCTTCCTCTTTCGAGAAAGCAGGGTAGTTTGATCTGATTAGCGAGTATCGATCGCTTTTGACGAGCCGATTGTCCGACTGGGTCAGGGTGACCTTCTTCAGGGTCGTTACACCAGAAACATTATGATTGTATCGTCTCCTTCTCCGTAGAGGAGAGCCATAGTCAATTTTTTAATTCATTGATTTTCGCGCGTTTAACTGATTCTAAATATCTGGTCTCTCACGCATAGTAAGAATAATTTTCAAACATTAATTCCATAAAAAAAAAAAGTAAAAACCCTAATAAAAAGAGAATGTAACGTTGTTTCGGTATTTTTTGCTTCATTCTCAAATATCGCTTCTGACTAAAGAGTCGAGTTTCTAGAAATATCTCCGACAAAAAACAATGACATTTTATTGTTTTACAAATAACGAGCGCTGCAATTTGCGTTGAAAGCACTCAATATGACCCCGCGATTATTATTCCCCGATCAAGCGAAGCAAAAGAGGACTGGGTCAAGGTGGCCGTCTCCTCGTGATCTTCTTACTTCCGCGTCTCTCCGCAGATTTCGTTCATTCGTTCGTTCGGCGAAGAAGATGCCGGATCGGCGAACATGTATGTTCAAATGCATACACGTACGTATGTACGTACGTACACATATGTGTAAACGTGTGTATACACACACACACACATATATATATAGCATATGTACACACATCTGATTGTGCATGTGTGTTCGTCGATCGCTGTGTGCGCGCGGGGGTTACGGATATAACCCACGTGCCGCGTCATCAACCACCGCGAACCTACATCGTCATCAGAAGTGAAAGATGCTGGCGTCGCCAAATCTTTCCTTTCTCCACTTCTACACGCGGTGAGAGTAAACGTGACGTCACCGACTTAAAGCTGCCGGACGAAATGAACCGATTGATTCGGTCGTCGGTCGTTTTGATCGCCGGCGGAGATTAAAAGCGTGATTTCAATGATCCGAGAATTCGAGCAGCGGAAATACACACATACGCGGAAAGCGCGCGCGATCGCCGGTTCATGTCGGTTTTAATCTCTGCCTCCGCGCTTCGGCAACAAACTCATCGGATACTCTAACACTGATTCCAATATTTTATTTCGATAGCTATTTTGTTTGATAAAAAAAAATGAGATTACGACACAAGAGATATTTTTTACACTTGAAGTCAACAAATTCTTTTGAGGAACAAAAAAATAATTTCTCGCGCGACGACGCGAATGAAAATACGGCTGAGGTATAATCGCGGAGCTCGACCGAGACGCGATCTTCACCACCCGTGTGTCATCATATACGTTCGAAGAAATGAATCATCGATTGATTTAATTATTAAACACGGTCATTGCAATCTGTTTACACATCTCTTTCTTATCGTCCAAGTACACACATTGTTGCGTCTGACGATAACATCGAGCTGTCGAGTGATACAAAGCTACGAGAGCCGTCGAGAACGGTCGAACAATGCGTGTGTGTGATGGCTTCGCGTTATCAGGCGGGAGAGGAATCAGCTCGCGGTAAAACAAGACTAGGATCGATTATTAATGGATGTAAACAAGAAACGTGTAACAGTTACACGAACGCGCACGGCAACGAACACACACACACATCTCTCATCGGACGAAGTTACGAAGCTTCCGTTTCACACTTCCGTGAACGTTTAATTTTTTTTAAATGGCAAAAAATTTGCAGAAAAAAATAACGGTGACATCTTTCTGTCTCTCGTCCGCTTTCGTATCTTTGATACGACTACGTGTATTCCGGATGTAGTTACGAGGCGAGATTAGAGGACGAAGAACGAGGAGGAGGCTGCATGAAGAAGCGCGAGGAAGCGCAAAGGGAGTGGATCTCGCATCCACGGGGGGGGGGAGAGGGAAGAAGGAAGAACGCGCAGAGGGGTTGTTGTGGAAGATAGAGATAGGCCACGGTGGCCGGCGTGACTTGACAATAAAGCTCGTCTCACCTCCGGTCCGCCTCTGTTCTCGAGGCCCCCGGTTTTCGACCCCTTTGTCACCCCACCTGTGTTTTTCGCCTGGCGCTTCTAACACACACACCTCTCCACACGACTCGTTCTCTCTCCCTCCCACACGCCATTGACTAATCTTTCCTATCGCTCGTGAACCGATCCGACGTGTTACGCGCAGGAGTTATGAACCCGCGAAACTCGAGCTGCCAAACGATCCTCTCAAACGATTCTTCCCTCTTCAATTTTTTTTTCTTTCTTTCCACATTACCGCGTTATTATCAACTTGGCAAAAGTGACAGTTTTTATTTGTATGTTAGAAACGAGTTTTTCAGTAAATTGTTGAAATTGTAATATATTTGTTGTGCGAAACATCCCGAGTCGAAATTTTGACTCTCTGATGAACCTCTCATTCTACTATATATAGGAGTTACGATAGTAAAGTAGGTTCAATTGCAAGGATAAAATTTGCTCCTACTTTCAACCTAAAAGTGTCACAAATTTCCATTTTCTCCAAGTT